CCAGGAGAGCTTTGAAATGGAGCCGTCTCCCAGTGTTGATGTGGGTCTCTGTGGATACCTCTTACATTCTTCAAGGCAGCCAGTGGCCTATATTCCATCTTTGTACGAACTAGAAAAAGTTGCTTGCCCTTTCCTCAAGGCACTTTACTTCCATCTGTGCCCAAATAACCATAATGAATACAGGGTTCTGTGATGGCCATCACGTAAATGGTACCCTCTGTAGTCACACTGGGCGCAGCCGGCACAGCTGTACTTGCTGGGGCTAGATGCCCGCCCCTTTGCCTTCTGCAGCTCCTGCTACAGGAAACTGGCAAAGAAGGGGATGTTTTGTGTTCATTAAAGTGCCTTCCCACCCTATTCAGAAAACACATTTGAAGATGGCACGTCTAGGTAACGTTTTTTTTGTGTAGCCAACAAACCCAGGTAGAATCTCACCAAGAATAGGCATTGTGCCACTTAGGGAGATTCAGAGAGGAACAAAGCATTGATGTTTGCTCCCAAGAAGCCCACAGTTGATGGGTTAGTGGGTGAGAAGGGTCCCCTCAGAGGCTTTGGCCCGGCTCGAAGGCACCCTTGGGGAGAGAATGTGTGACATTGACTGTCGTTGGGAGGATTTGGGATGGCTTCGCCTAGGGCAGAGAGCCTGTGAGTGACCAGTGGTGGGGAGGGCATGGCAGGCAAAGGGAACACAGAGCACAAGGCAGTGAGGCGTGAAGGGCCCATGTATGAGCACTTGGGTAAAAGACAAGGCCAACGGTAGAGCGTTTCAGGGAGTGAAAACGAGCCGGGGGGACCCTGCAGGAAGGCGGGCAGTGACTGGAGTCCGGGGCAGGGGGCAGATGCAAAGCAGGGGTGTAGGGTGGTCACTAGGGCTGGGCTGCTGGTTTCACCAGGCTGTGTCCCCAGGGACCAGGTGGCACCAAGTTCAGCAGCGTGGGGCCCACGTGGGCACCAAGGCAGTGTCCCGGTGAAGGCAGCTCCCATGCGTTTGGGATGCATCTGGGGAGCAGGGCTGCTGGTGCGCGGCCAGGCTGGCCGGACTGAGGCCTCATGGCTTCTGGTTTCTGGGGCTTCAGCCCAGCTCCCGAGGCAGCTTGCAGAAGCCGCGTCCGCCTGCCACAGCTTCCGCGTGTGGCCATGGCTGTCATCCTGAGACAGCTTTTAGATTCATAAACCAGCTTAAGGAGCCCTCTGAGAGTTTCTCATCTCCAAGCAGGTTCCTCCCAAAGGCCCGGGGGTGGGAATGCCCAGTCTGATTTGTGGGGGTAGAGGGAACTCTGCGCATTTGTGCCGTTCGGATGAAACTAGACGTGAGCTCCTGTTTCAAGGGAACGACGCTTGCATTTGGATCTCCCGCTGCTTTTCACGGTTTGCTACAAAGACCGTCCGCTTCTAATGGCCTGGGACTTCCCTCCCGCTTGTGTCTCAGGCTGCCTGGGCCCAGCCCACCGCCTGCAGTAGGCACTCCATGATGCTGAGCTGCTCCTGCCCTCTGGATGCGACCCAGGATCCAGGGATTGTCCCAGTTGGAGGCGTGTTCACTGAGACCCTTCACTGGCTGGCGGTGTTCCTTCGCCGCCTCCCCTGACACACCCAAGCTCGACCCCTACCTTGTGTTCACGCCCGTTCTGCTGCAGCCCACGGACGTGATGGGTGCATGGCACCCTTTGCTGGGCACTGCAGGCGTCTGGGGTGATGCCGTCCAGGAGCCCTGTCTCCCAAGGGATTGGGCACGAGACGGCCATTTCCCCGTTAGGGGGCCTTGTTCCAGTTGCCCCCCAAAGTGCCTGCCCGACAAATATCACTGCCTCTACTTCGCAGGTGGGGACACTGAGGCTCTGAGCAGCTGAGTTGGTAAATGCCTGAGGTGGGATTCAAACCCAGGTCTGTCTGTGAATAAAAATAAGACGGGGTCATGAGGGGCAGGGGCCGGGGGCTGCTTAGATCCTGAAGTAAAGCAGGATGGAAGAGACCGGAATCCTTCTTCGTATCGGAGACTAAGGAGTTTGGCGCTTGCTCAGCAAGCAGGACGCAGCCACACGGATTGGGGGCAAGATGGTGGCAGCCCCGAGTGGGAGTCAGGACATGCTTTGGCGAGGGAGGAGTCGCTGGGAGGACTCAGAGGGCTCAGAGAGGGGCTCCGTCGTTAGCCCGGGAGGGGTCCCGGGGAGGAGGAGGAGGAGGGGCGTTGGCACGTGCAAACCCTCTCTGAGCAGGGTCGCCGTTACTAACACGTGCTGCATGCCTGGGCTGCTGTAGGTTACTTCGTCAACTCCTCCTCGGCCCGCAGGGCGTGTTTTGCTCCTCATCCCATTTTGCAGAGTGGGACACTGAGGCTGTGAAGGTCAGAGTGACCTTGGGTCAGAGCACAGCTGGGATCGGAGCCGAGTTCCCTGCAATGCCGGTGCCACCCCTCGCCGCCCCCCACAGCAGACCACCCCCGTGCGGTCACCGGGGTGCTGTTGAGCTGGCCCCAACAAGCTCCCCATCGTGGGGGGACATCGGGGAGGAAACGTACGGTCACCTGCAAGCCGCACGAAGCCTGAGGCGGCATTTGGTCCTGCCGGCAGAGTCAGCCCGTGGTAGGGTCGCCGCCTGGAATGCAAGACAGGTGGTGGGTGTCAGGGGCCGCTTGTGCCCCCGGGGGAGATAGGGCTCAGGACCCGCAGGGCAGTCATCGTCTTTCTGGGGCTTCGGGGGCTGCTGGCCAGCAGCTACTCATGCAGAGGGCGAAAGTGGGGTGCAGCGGCCAGGGCCCTCACGAGCCTTCCCCTAGAGAAGCGGGTCGCAGGGCTGGCACCTGCTCGGTGCCCGAGGGAGCCACCGGGCCAGGACCCTCCCCCTTGAGGAGTTCAGTGGGAAGCGAGGCAGGTGGGAAGGCAGGCCAGGTCTGCGTCCTGGTTGGGGGAGGCTTCCTGGAGACAGGAAGGTGGTCAGCCGGGCACAGGGTCCGCTCACTACAGAGCTTCCACCTGCCCCCAGTTCCTCCTGCCTTGTGGTTCCCCAGGTCCTGGCTAACCGCCAGCCTTTTGCTATTTCTGAGGGCAGCTGATGGCTCCCTGGGGCTCCCTTGGCCCACCACACCGTCCTGGGAGTTGCCCCATCTGACCTCACAGTTGCCCCATGGCTTCTTGCCGCCTTGCAAGGCGAGGGCGAGGTTTAGAGGTTTTAGGGAGCCCCATCACCTACTAAAGGCCAGGCCAGCCGTGTGACCCTGGGGCTCCCTGTGCCCAGGGTAGCAGGCAGAGCAAGAGCACCGGGACAGAACCCCTCCTCGAGTCTTAGACCACCCTAGACCCGTCATCCCCAATTGCATGGGCGGTCGGCTGTGAAAGTAAGTGTCTGCACTCTGCCAGCCCTTTCTTGGAAGACAGGGTCACCCTGGCAAGTTCTGTTGCATGCTTGTCCGCCGCAAGGGCAGGAGCTCGGGACTGGGTCAGGACCTGCGTGCATTCTCCAGCTGTGTCCCCCAGCCTCTCTGAGGCTCCCCTGCCTCATCTGCATGCTGGGAAACTCTCAGCAGCCCATCGCTCTGTCCAAGCACCCCTGTCCCTTGTCCTCCTGGGGCCTGATCTGGGTTGGCTGAACTGCTCCCAGTTGGCTGCATGCTGGGGCCCTGCGCTCCCTGCAGGCTGTGAGTCCAGTGCTGGACAAAGCTGACCTTCAGTTGTCTGTGACTTCGAGCCTGTCCGCACGTTGCTCCCACTGTTTGCTAGCTGCGTCCCCCAGTCTCCCGCTCCAAGCCAGGGGCCTGCTGAATTCCTCAGGACCCCGGGCATGCAGCCCTCTCTTGGCCAGCCCCTTAGGACCCTGGAGAAAGCCTCTCCACATAGCATCCTGCCCCTCCTCCTTCCCTGCGCAGTGGCCTGGCCTTCCAGCTGCCGACTTACTTCCGGGGCAGCAGCGAGTCCTGGGGGGAGGCTGCCCCTGGAAGGTGGGGAGGGAGGGCCACCGTTCAGCCCCGGCCGTGTGGCCCGCCAGGAAGTCCACTTCCGTCCCGCGCCCCCGGGTGCCTCCAGGGGTGGACAGTTAACGTGGCAAAGCGCCCTTACTGTAAATGATGGGAGGCTTTGGCAGCTGAAGCAAAGTTGGAGCTTTTGGGTTTCTTTCCTTTAAAAAAAAAAAAATGCTGTGCCAAGAGGCAGGCGGTGTGGCTTTAGGCCGTCTGTCCAAGGGGATAGCCCCCAAGCCCCCTGCTCCCTGTCCCTACGGCTCATCATCCCCTAAAGGAGACCATGCCGTTCAACACCATGGCTTTGGTGTCGCTGGAGTGACCTGCCTCCTCCTGCTAGGAGCCCCCCCGCCCCGGCAGCGCCCCGGCCGCCCCCTCCGCCAGCCTGCGGTTTCTCTGTGCCGGATGACGCCGTGCAGAGGCTGCCGTGGCATTGTGGGCTCCCTGGTGGTTGTCGGGACACCACATTCATTCGGGCCGGGAGGGAGGGGTCGCTGCCGCTCGGCGCCGGCTCGTGCGGAGAGCAAATAGAATTTGATTTTTGAAAACCCCTTCAGGAAGAAGAAGAAGGAGGAAAAAAAAACCAAAAACCTGCTGCCTCATTTCTCCTCTGGCTGATTTCAGCGGGCTCCCCTGGAAGATGCATCAGCCTGGGTGCCCTGACTCTGCTGCGCCTGGTGGCTCTGGGCCACTTACTTTCTTTGCCTCTGGGTGCCCGGAGCCAGCCCGCGCTGCCATGGCTCGGTGGCCTCCCCACCATGCCTGACTCCTTCCTCCCGCTCGCTCGCTCGGCTCCGCTCCGGCTCTGCCTCTGCCGGCCCCCCCCTCCGAGCCCCATTGTGCCGAGCCCGCCTATCCCGTTCGCCGGCCCCCCCAGCTGCCTCCGCTCCTCCTGCTCCCTGTGCTGCTTAGTTTCCTCCATGCTGCCTGGATCCGGCGAGCAGGGTGATTAATTGGCTATGATGATGAACGTCCCCGGCGGAGGATCAGCCACGGTGATGATGACGGGTTACAATAATGGTCGCTATCCCCGGAATTCTCTCTACAGTGACTGCATTATCGAGGAGAAGACAGTGGTCCTGCAGAAGAAGGACAATGAGGGTTTTGGATTCGTGCTCCGAGGGGCGAAAGGTAAGAGCGGCTGCTCCCAGTCTGGGTGCATTCCCATGTTGTGTGAGTGTGAGTGAGTGTGTGTGTGTGTGTGTGTGTGTGTGCACACCGTATGAAAATGCTCCCCGGCTCAGAAAGAAGCCTTCTTCCTGGGGGCACTTGGTTGCTAGACAACCATGTTCTTTAACATATTCTGCCGTACTCAGAAAACATCGGGGCTTCCTTTAGGAATATTTTCAATTTTCTGTACACAGTATTGCTCTGAACGAGCTCTCGCTGTCTCTCTCTCCCTCCCCCCACTCGTTTTTTTGTTTTGTTTTGTTTTTTTAATCGTGGGTTTAATCTATATTTTGTGGTTTAGTTCAGCCCAGCTGTGGCTGGATTTGGAGCTCCTGGTCTCAGATATGCAGAATGACCCGGTGCTGAGTTTCAGATATCTAGAAACTGCCCCATTCTGGGAGTGGGCTTTGGCTCCAAGTGCGGCAGCGTCTGTGTGTGCCCGTCTCTAAGGTGACTTTGCAAAGGAAATGTGGCAAGATGGTCCCCTCTGCCGTGGACTGAGCCGGCAGCGTACACGTCATGTGGCCTGGGGTGGGGGGCTCCGGGGATGCGTCCCATGGCAGCGCACCCCCCCACACACCAGCCCTTCACTTGGGGGCTTCCCTTTCAAAAGAAAACAAAATGGCATCAGCTCCCCGGGAGAGGAGACATCTGTCCACCGCGTGTGTGGGTAAGCCATGTGTAAGTTTCATGTCAGAGGCTCTGTGCTGTGCTGGGTCCTGCACCTGAGCTAGGAAAGGCCTCCTTCCCTGGGCGGCAGCCCCACCTGCCCCGAAACTCAGGCTGCCCAGGAGCCATCTGTCCAGAGAGAGAAAGAAAAGATGAATCTGTCCCCGTGTGTGTGTGTGTGTGTGTATGACTGTCTGAGTGATGTTCTGTCCCCTCCCCCTGCTGGGGTCATCTTCATCTTCCCACCCACCCACCCCTGGCTGCTCATAACTACCCAGGGGAGTCCATCTCTTGCCCTGGAGTTTTGCTCGGCAGCCATGTGGGGCCCAGATACCAAGGCTCAGCTCTGCTGAGGAACGGGGGCCCAGCCTTCCCGTGGGTGCTGGCCGCAGAGTGGTCGCTGAGAGCCGGGCTCCCTGCAGACAGAATTCATGAGCAGATTCCAAATCCGCAGCCACCCACTGGGTCAGCGTTATGATCTGTCCATGCTCCAAGTTGAATTCCCTTGGTTGCGAGTCTACGTAGATATAAATTTGGCAAGGGGTTCATTGTGGTGTTTCTGGAGCTGTGTGTGGTTATGGGGGGAACTTTTCCATTTTTAGAACTGAAAATGTTTAGTCACTGATGCTTTTAAAGAAAATGACAGGCATGTACATAAAGACATGTACAGCAGAGCATATTATTCGGTGTTTTTAACAGAAAGGCCAAGAGATATGGTGGCACCAAAATGCAGTTGGCTTCATTGCTTGAGTTGGTGTTGACCCATGACTGTGAGTGGCAAGCCCTTCCCAGGGGAGAGCAGGCCTGGAGCACCCACTTCCAATGGGAGACATACACACCCCCTTTCTCTCAGGGGCCCTTGAGGGGCCGGGGCTGCCAACCTGGAAACACCACCCAGGCTTGTACTGAGGTATTCCTTGTCTTCCCAGCGGATACACCCATTGAAGAATTCACGCCAACACCGGCGTTCCCAGCCCTGCAGTACCTGGAGTCCGTGGATGAAGGAGGGGTGGCATGGCAAGCCGGACTGAGGACTGGGGACTTCCTGATTGAGGTAGGGACACGGGTGTTTATATCTTTCTGCTTGGGGAGAGTGCCGACTCTCTTAGGGTTGGGGTCCATGGTTTTAGCAGCGCGGCCACTGAGCCAGACCTAGGGGGACTCACGGAGGCTGCCGTGGACCCATGTCAATTGGTTATTTCCTGATCCATCCGTGTGGATGCCATTTCCTGTGGACTCATGTGTTTGGATTGTCTTTAAGGCCTTGGCTGTAACTCTTGGGAGGTGGAAATGTTCATGGAAGTTGGCCATTGGTCTTGAAGTAGAAGGTAGAAGGAAGAGACACATGGTTTCCATGATGTTGGGGATGCACATGGATCTATGTGTGGTTCACTTGTAGCTGTACAAATAAACACCAGTAGGGGTGCCCATTCTTGCCCATTCTTGTGCCTTCAGGGCAGGATGGAGGGTGCTGTGCTGTGGCTCTTGCTTGCCTGAGGTCTGTAACCTTGGTGGCTGAGAGACCATTGATTTGTAAGTTGCAGTAACTGGCCAGGCAGATGATGGCCTTCAAAGACCAAGGAGCACGTGCAAGATGGGTAGTTGGCACAAAAAGGAAATTATTAAATCCAGATGCTTTGAAAACCAGCTTTTGCTAGTTGGTAAAAGGAGGGAGCATTCTCTTCCTTTGAAGAATCCCACTAGACACCAGTGCCATGTTTCTTGAGCTTTTGCTAGAGTTAGCACCGTGGTGTGTGTGAGGTGTCCGAGCTGTGAGCACATCCGAGCTCCCTGCCTTTTGCGGGTTTAGGTATTACTTTCAGTCTTGTTGTGCAAAGGACTCTGTTACTCTTTAGAAATATTAAGAATAAAAGAGCATGTTGTACCTTGGAAAAATTATTCTTAAGGGGTTCGGTTTGCTCCAGTGGCCCTCCTTGGGAGTTCATGTTTCTTGGAAAAGCATTCTGAGCCCTGTCTCATCTACATCTGCACATGGCGGGTAGAAGGGGTGGATACAGGGTGGCCCTGCCACTGGGCCAGACGCTTGCTCGTTATACAGAGGAGACCCAGACCCTGGCGAGCTGGCCACTGAGAGCCGGTCTCCCCCTTATGCCTGAGCTTCCCAGGGTGCTGCTGAGCTCAGGTTTGCTCATGATCTCCTTAGTGCCTCTCAAGGCTGGTGGACTGAAGGAAATCCAGAAGGAAAGATGCTGTGGAGGAGAGCGAGCCAAGGAAAATGGAGCAGGTGCTTTACCTTCTTCCAGGTATCTTGTGTTGGTCCCATTTTATTTGCTGGAATCTGAATTTAAATTCTTATTGACCAGTCAGAGCCTGGCTCGGATGAGACCTTGGGTGCATTACCCAGAATGGTGGAGACTGGAACCTGCTGCGCTTTCATGGGTTAACTCGATTTGTAACCTCACGAAAATGCAGAGACTGGTTGAATCATCTTCTGTAGGATGTAGTTGTGATGTAAGTCTCCTCACTGTGTGTGTGTGTGTGTGTGTGTGTGTGTGTGTGTGTGTATGACAGAGACAGAGAGACCCAGAGACAGGCTCCAATAGGTCGACACAGGCGATGCTGGTTCTTGGTTTTAAATAATAAATGAAGGCTGCAGATACAAGCGTGTGCCCCATTGTTAGGCTCATGGGATTGCTTCCTCGATAAACTAGTCAGTAAGGGAAACATGGGAGCGCCTCGGAGCGTGTGCTGGGCCCTTCCCTTTCGTGGGGAAGCAGAGCTGCACTGGGTTGGTGGACACTCCGCAGCACGTGCCTGACCCGGGCGGAGAAGGCAGGCCACCCGGTCAGATGGTCGCCTCCGTGGAAGTTGGGGGCATGAAGGGTGTGTGTACTTCTGCTGTCAAAGCAGCTCCTTGGACATTGCTTTTAACCTCTGATATGCAAATATATTTGCCATTTTGGAACAGGTTTATGTTCGAGGTAACCTCTGAATTCTAGGATTCTAGGAGTGGTGGGCCCTGAGATGCATTAATGCTGTGTTGGTGTTATTGTGTCCCAAAGACCTGCAGGAGGAGTGAGCCCTTCACAGCCCGCCTCGTCCCCCACCCCGTGTGTGTGTGGGTCCTATGCTAATGGGGGGACCAAGGGGTTGGACCTTTGGAACCCTGACCTACCCAGTGCATTTCCAAGGCTACTCAAGGGACTCAGAAAGTCTCTTTTAGGTGACTGAATTAAAAAGACTTGAGAATCTCCATTGAGGCGTTTTCCTAGCTACTGGATCGCACCCCTGGGGTAGTAAAATCACTTCCAGCCTTAGAGGTGCTTGCATTTTCCAACAGACAGTTTTTCTACATTTTCCGTTGAAAAGCTTCAACCTCAGTGGGGAGAGGGGTGGTGTTCTACTGAACAAACTCATGGGTCTCGGGTGAATCTTGATTTTGGCCAGAAGCCATCCCTGGAATCAATGGGGTTTCTGAGCCTTGGTGAAGCGCAGGGTCCCACGTGCAAAGATAGTCAGTGAGGGCAAATTGTCCTTGTCGCCCCATGTTCCTCTGGGCCAGCCTCCTTCTCTCCCTGCTCTTGGAAGGAAACTCAAGGCATGTCAGCTGTTTATATTCCCTTTAAAAACGCATGCTGCAGTTTGAACGTGGAGACCAAGGGGCAACTTTTGATGGGAATCTTTCCTCTTCAGAGTCCTGAGCATCTGCAAAACTTCCTTCTTCCTTCTTGGACTTGGTCATCTTGCTGGTCATCTTCCTTCTCGGACTTGGTCACCCGCACCTGTTGTGAAGGGTTTCCTACTGTGCGTGCTTTTCTTGGGTGCTTACCCTCCAGAATTTACGTCCCTCCTGCCTTAGCATTGGGGAGGAGTTTGCTCCTTTGTCGTTGGGACTGTCTCTTTGCTGACCACGCCCCCCTCCCCCGCCCTGCTCCTGCCGAAAAGCAAAAGCTTCGAGTAGAGTTCCATGTAAAATGTTACCGTGAAACCAGGAACTACAGTGAGATCGATGGGTGCTAGTGAGCCAATGGGTTGTCATAAAAGTTCATTTCAGAAGTGGAGAAGGAGGAGTGGGCATTTGAACGTGGGGGCTCCAGAGACCATGTGTATTGACCACTTTCAGATCGGCTTGATACGCTGGAATCCTCTGGATGGCTGGTGCCTCTGGGGCTTTCCCAGAGACCTTTAGGAGGCAGTGGGAGTGGGCAGGGCAGTGGGGGCGGAGTCCTTCCTGGGAGAGCGATGCTTGCAGAGAGGTGGGTCCCGGCGTCAGTGACGGGCTGTGGGGAGAAGTGAGCAGGGGAGTCGGGGCAAGGTTTTCTTTCCCTGCACATCACATGTAAGCAAGCATGAGGACTCCAGCAGCCAGGAATGATAAAAGTCCCACATCCCTTTTGGTTACAACAGGAAACCCAGTTCAAACTGGGCTTAATAATGATAGAAGCTTGTCGGAGAATTGAAAGTAAAGAGTTTAGGGGGAGAATCAGCCTCCAGGCACAGATTGTTGAAGGCTTCATCTGCTTTTTCCTTGAGATCATCTTGGTTAGGTCTCCCCAACCCCATGAGATGGGGCAGGAGAGGCTACTTACAAGGAATCATAAGGAGGACGTAGAGGGCTCGCAGATGACAGTTTTGCACCCAGTAATTAAGGAGATGTGGAGGTTTGGGGATGTCCCTTTGGTGTCCTGCAAGGGACTCCCCACACTGGACGGCTGGCTGGGCATCAGAGCCTCCTGTCCTTATTTATAGAGAGACCCGATTACCAGCCCACACCTTCAGAGTCAGAGTCTCGAGGCAGGACCTTGGGCGTGGCGTCTTTAGGACACTTCAGTGATGCTGCCAAGGGTTCTAGCATCAGGCAGGGTGATGACCAGCTGGCCTGATCATGTTGGCTTTCTGAACCTCTTAATTTGGCATTTTAACTGAAGGATAGAAGCAGGCCCCACACTCATCTCCTTGTCGTGACACCGGGGCTGTCTTCCTTCCACAAACTGCCCATCCCGAAACCCAAGTTTTGTTGCTTGCATCACTTTCTTAGACAAAAACATCCTCTATCTCGAGAATTGCTCATAATACAACTAAACAGTTAACCTCAAAAGGGCAAACAACATTCACGACAAACACAACCAAGACAGTGTCCGAGGGTATATCAGCCCAAGCACCCCACAATCCCGTCTGACCCTCACTGTGAGCCCAGAAAGTGGCATCTGTTGTCCTCCCCGTGTTACGAGGACATGGGGAATGAGGAAACCGGGCACAGAGAGGTGAAATCCCTTGCCCACCGTCATGGAGTGTGCGAGTGGAGACGCTGGAATTCTGACCTGGGCTGCCTGACTCCATGATGCCACAGCTCAGAGGTTCATGAGAGACGCTTTGATGTGCTTGATGTATAAACGGGCAGAGGGAAGAAGAAAAACAGATGATGAGCTGCCAATTCTTATTTTCAAATTAGCAAATGCTTTTTTTTTATTACTATACCCGTCGCCGGTGACAGTGCTCATATGTTGCTATGTGAAAGAATAAATCGCCATAAACTTTTCAGAAATTGATGTGATAGTATGTAATAAGAGCTGTAAAGCCGAATCAGGGAGTTTTACATCTAGGAATCCATTCTGAGGGAAAGAACTGAAAACAGGCAGAACAGAGACCACAGTGTAGCAGAAGCAGAATAAGGGGATGGGGCCGCAGGGAAATGAAGAAGGGGACCTCGTGCATCCATCATGGATCCGCAAGAAAGTGTTTCAAAATGAGGCTTGCAAGGAGTTTTCGATACTAATGAGAACTGATCACCTCTATTAGGTGAAAAGGGCAGACCCAAAATTATCTGCACGATACCATCTAAATTATACCACCTGTCCCCAAAATAGGCCTCAGCGGGGGGTGGGGGGGGAAGGAAAGGAAATGTTAACCCCTGGGTGATGGGGTCGTGTGTGATCATTGTCTCTTACTTCAGACTTTTGTCTATTTCTCAGAATTTCCAAAATGACAGCATTCACTTTTCTGACAGGTATTAATTTCATAAATAGAAAGATATTCCTTTGGAGAAGCTGTCGCACGCAGCTGAGTGGTGTCTCAGCCTCCGTGGCCAAGGCGTTGCTGTTTGCTTTCAGGATGAGAACACTTTCCTGGGTGTTAATTATTTTCCTGGGGCCATTGCTCACCAACCTGATGCCGTGCTGGAGGCTCCTATGGTTTTTGTGATTGTTTTCTTAGCCCTGAAGTGGCCAATCTCGTTTTTGTGTTAATTCCCTAAATAGGTTTTCCCTTGCAATTAAACCAGGCAGCAATATCCTTCATCCTTGAAAAGTGATGCTTGAGTTTGCTAATTACTTTTCCTCGTATTAAATGCTTGCACTAGTGATGGCCTACAACTGTTTTATAATCTCAGTTTGCACTGAAGTGAGGACGCTAAGAGGGATGCCCCGGTGTTTTCCTGAGAGACCGTTTGAGTATCTTATAAAATGTTTCTTTGGCTGCTACTTGAGAATGGGACTTGAAAAACCTAACACGGGTTCTAGCACACATTTGCCTGAACC